GTTCTCATTTCATCTGACATAACCTTGCTGATAATATCTGTTTCTTATTATCTTTCAAGGCTAAAGCTGATAACGGACGGAGAAAGTATTCTATACTCAAATTATGTGGATGACTTACTAGTGATCATTTACTACAGGACAACTTTCTTAGTAGTTCAGAGTTACTGCTATGTAACAGGAAAAATAAGCCTAATGCCTAGTGGCCCATGTCATAGAGCAGAGCCCCATGGGACTTCAAATTCATAGCAAAGAAGTGTTTCCTGCCATCTTTTGATACTTGCCACTCCTTTCAAAGCCCTTTTAGGTTTTGTGAAAATCTCATTGACTCTTTCTTTTCCAGCATGGGCATCTGTCACCTTCAGCATGACAAAAATACTGTCTTTCAGCCTGAACCTTTTAAACTACATAAACAGATGCAGTAAATCCAGTAGGAATATTTTCAGACTAATTACTAAGCCAATCATCAAAGGGATATTTAAATTCTAAAATACAGGAATCTTAGTGACCTACTGTACCCTGCTGTGACAAAACCGGTTAAATCTAAGTGATGCCTGATAAATGTATGTTAGACATGCCTGTGAAGGAGACTTCAGCAGTCCGTTCCAGTGATACGCTAGTGGTGCTTCTGGGAAGTTTTCCTGGTACCTAACTTGAATCTTCCTGTGCTGTTATCTGACTGTTACTGCTTAGCCCTGATAGATCAGACAAGCCAATTATTCCATTTTTCTTTACATCTACCTTTCAGATTTTTTTGCTTACCTTCCAAACAGGCTTATAGCTTTCTTTAGCCTCTTAGTTTGAACTGGATGCAGCCATCTGCTGATGTCTTGCAATTGCTACGTGAAATGGCACGGTTGCTCATTGCCGTACTGCTGGTGTCACAGTGGGCTGTGTTGCACAGAAAGGCGACATCATACCGTTGACTCATGCTCAGCTTGTGATTCACTGACCATTTCTGCCTAACTGCTTTTTTCTGTCCTGTGTTTGTGCAGTTGATGAATTCTATCCAGATGTAGACCATTAGTTTTTCACTTAGGAAATAATGTCAATTTTTTTAAAGCAATTCTCCAGTTTTTTGGGATCTTTTAAAATTCTCATTCACTTTACAGCATCTTTGTAGGTTTTCCCAGGTTAGTGTTAACTACCAGTTTAATAGTGATTCTGTAATTCAACTTGCCGCTTAAAATATTGAGTAACAGTGAACCTGGGACAGATCTCATAGAATCCTGTTTGATTCACCTTTTCATTTTTGACAGTTAGATCCTTTAACTATTCAGAGTATGATTTATTTGCTTTCCAGTTTGTTTTGCACCTGCAAGAGAAGCTTCATGATACTCATGTTTTTGTCATTTGTTTAAAAAATGTTGTGCATTTAAAACATTACTTAAGTCAAGATATGAAAATGATCACTGTCTATTCATTCCAAGCTTACGTAACATCTTTTATTTAAGTATTCTTAAACTACTTTGTGAAGTTGAGCAAGAATTACAAATATAAATTAAAGCACTGTATAAGCTTTAAGGACTGCTGGGGAAGTACGCTTGTTTACATGTGTTTTTGTATTGGCATCTCTGTGTGTACAAAAAAATATATATATAGATATGATGGATGTGTGGGGGTGTATGGGTGTATAAATTGGTGGCCTTCACAGCTGATAAGGCTCAGGAAGTTGCTAATGACTAGTTAATATTTATTCTGAAAGTTGATGCCTGTGGGGATTATTCACCATGTAAATGTTGTGTTGATGCATGAGGTAATGGGGTAGATTTTTGAAAACTTTTGTGTTGGAGATAATTGTTCTCTGTTGGCTTCTTGTGTGGCTTTATAATATTTTCTTTTCAGCCACGCATCCTATATCCTGTCTCTCCTATGCCCTTTCCTCATTTTTTGGACATCACAAGAGAGGGTAATAAACACCTTTCAAAAATATAAGAAGTTTTAGAGCTTACAAGTCAATTAAAGATGTCACAAAATTGACAGCAACAGTTCAGGTGACACAGGAATTCAATAATTAGTAGCCCAATCATTTTTTGGGGACTTTTTTATTTAATTTATTTTGGTCTTTGGCTTTCTTTAAGACCTAAGTCTGTGGTCATTAGTAGTCTCCCTCCAAAATTATGCTTAAATTGAGATCTGGGGAGCAGTTATTTGAAAGGACAGTCTAGGTGTGTAGGAGCATGTGGGTCAGTCATGTCAGTTCTGGTGGAAGCGCATAATGAGAACAGGATAAGCAAAAGGAGGAGGAGTTAGAGAGGCCTGGTATGCATGTAGCCTCGCTGATTCTCTAATTTCCTTTAATTCCTCACCCTCGGGAAAGAAATCAGAAACATTCTAAAGCTGAAATGTGGCAAGAAAACTGTATAAACAATCGAATAGCATATTTTGGGCATTAGCTTGTAGGAAGGGTTGGAACTTGTCAGATCCAACACCTCAGAATCTTTGCAGCCTTATACTGGTGCTCCACAGTGGTGAGTGTGGACTGCATTCAGCTGTCCTTGGGTGTAGTGTCACCTCTTTTGTAAATCAGGGGGTGAAGGCATTGAGCAAGAAATGCACTGGAGGAATCACAGAATCACAGAATGGTAGGGGTTGGAAGGGACCTCTGTGGGTCATCTAGTCCAACCCTCCTGCCGAAGCAGGGTCACCTACAGTAGGCTGTAGAGGACCATGTCCAGGTGGGTCTTGAATATCTCCAGAGAAGGAGACTCCACAACCTCCCTGGGCAGCCTGTTCCAGTGCTCCGTCACCCTCAGAGGGAAGAAGTTCTTCCTCATGTTCAGACGGAACTTCCTGTGCCTCAGTTTGTGCCCATTGCCCCTTGTCCTGTCACTGGGCACCACTGAAAAGAGCTTGGCCCCATCCTCCTGACACCCACCCTTCAGATATTTGTAAGTATATATTAGGTCCCCTCGCAGCCTTCTCTTCTTCAGGCTGAACAAGCCCAGCTCCCTCAGCCTCTCCTCGTAGGGGAGATGCTCCAGTCCCCTCACCATCCCTGTAGCCCTCCGCTGGACTCTCTCCAGTAGCTCTTCATCTTTCTATCATCACGTTTTGCTTTCCTTGCCAATCTGGACTGTAAAAGCAGTGGTCTTTCTTTGTAGCAATTTACTTCCTGTGAATATGTTGCAGGGTCAGGAATTTTGTAGGTAATATTTTTACCTAAGAGCTGTAGACTGGAAATCTCTGATGCAATAGGAAGATTTTCAAGAGCCTCTAACAGAATACATACAGGTACACAAAAATATACACAACTAGCTATATTATTAAAAAAAAGTATTATCTCAGTATGTAAACAATAAATGTAATATAAAAAATGTAACAAAAATAAATATGTAATAGTGTTCTTGAAAAAACATGAAATAAATACAGGATACTTACCCATTGCTTCCTTTTTAACAACCAGAATTAAAAACTAAATGGAAATAAACTGTATCAGTAGGCAGGACTTTGAATTAGTCAGTATTGTCTTGAGTAGTGTTCTCAGTTGTTGTTTCATAGCTTTGCTCTATTTTGAATTGGAAGAGTAATTCTAAAAATGTTGAGAGTTGGTGAGTGTTCTCTGCATCTCAGAGGCAAAGCTTATGCTAAATCATAACTTATGGTTATACATGACAGTGTTCTCTTGGGCAATCTACTTTTTCCTAGATAATCAGTTTCTGAAAATCTAAGTACAAAAGGTAAAAGGGTAAAATAGTTTCAATAGAAGAAAAAAATTACATATAAATACAGTTGTCCAAATTGGTCAAAAAAGCCTAAGCCTGTGTAATTGTGCACATGTGCTGAGGATAGCACACTTTTTTTGGTTTCTCAAACATGAGGCAGCAAAATTTTCATTCATTTGGCAGACTAGGCTGAAAACAGTCGTCTTTCATTTGACACACTCCCCTGGAAACAAACATGCCAGTGAAGGGATTGTGCCAGTTATCAGAAGCTCACAGGAATACGTTCTGCCAGTTTGTATTCATTTTCGTTTCATGAATTGCTTTAAAACTTAGCGACATAAAAAAGCATTAAAACACCTTTTTAGCATTATTTTTAGTTCCTACATATTTCCCTGCTGTGCTGTTATTCGGTTTAAATCAGCAGAGTGTTGAGACACATGACTCAGTCTGCAGTAGAGCAGATCTCTCTTCCTGCCTGGATATATACTTGTAGCATTCATCTGTGGAGAAGCAGCAGATTTGAGTTTAACCCATTTCACATCCTTGAAAAAGACGAGTGTCTTGGAAAGAAATTCAGTAAAAATAAAGGGTGAATTAAACAAAGGTTATGCAGCAAGAAGTTTAAGCCAAAACTCAGCTGGCATCTGTTAACTGTGAAAGTTCACAGATGATGCTCGGTCTTCTGGGAGACACTTGATTTTTCTTTCCTAGAGTTATATTCTTCAGAATTGCCAGCAGGTCCTTCCCACCTCTGGAATTTGCTAGAAGACTCTATTTCCCTCATAGATGTTTTTCCAAGTGCAAACTTGGCAAACTCAGGTGTACCTCTTGGAACTAATCTGGTAACGGAAGCTTGAATTAGGACCAGATTGCAGTGGATGCACGTAGTGAAGCAAATACGGGAGTGCTGTTTTAATCAAGTTTGATACGGGTGAAGATCCATTGATTTCCTAGTCTTGTACTGTTGCTGCTGCTGGAGGAGCAACAATATTGAATACAGGTCTGTCTGCTTTATGCAGCTGTTGCTTTTTCTCCTGGTGCTACTAAGCAATTTTTGTGTGTAGAAGCAGCATGCAGGTGTGACTTTTTTTAAAAACACACCTTTCTTTAGAGGGAGATTGCTTTCAGGAAAGGTGTTTGAGGAAACAAGGATGCTTGTGCACAGAAGATATGTATTGTGACATTTCAGGCTGTTGATACTAATGGTGGGAATTTTTTTGTTTCTGAGAGTCGCGTTTCCTTTTTAAAATGTTTTTTAAAGTAAGAAAAGGTACAACGTCTGGAACGAATGCAAGCTATTGAATTGTACAGTTTTGGTGGTAAGCTTCCAGACTCAGAATGGCCTTCAAGCAGGTTGAAGAGGTATGTGTCAGCCTATGCTGAACCAAAGTAGGGGTGAGGATCGGGTTGGAAGAAGGGTCACAGCTACATGGTTTCTGTCCCAAGAATTACCTAGAGAAGGGTTGTGGAGCAGCAGTGGTTGCTGTTCTATCCCTGTATGAGAATGAGACACTTAGGAGGGGTCACACTGTATTCCTTGATGTTCCTCTAGGAATGAGGACTGTGGATATTTAATTATGGCCTACAGTCATGTTTGTTTGGTCTCTGACACTTACGGATATTGGTTTTCTGTGGACTTCACATGAAAACAGCGAGGTAGGAAGTAGCAACATTGACACAATGTTCAATAGACAGCTGTAGCTTCTGTCCAGTTACTTACCCCTGCTTGTATTGTGAATTTTTGTGGGACAGCCTGTGCATCCTGCAGTTTCAGATCACAGAAGAAAAAGACATGATTGTGAATTAACAAAGCTTACTTTTTTTGTTTCTTTTTCTGTACCATCATGTTTCAACTTGTATACCTGATGGTTACCAAAAGGGAAGTAGTAACTTATACCCCTTCTACACAAAAATTATGAATGGAAAAATTAGCTGAAGAAACCATATAGCTTTGAATTGCTCTTGAATGAAAAAAAAAACCCAAACCCAAACGCAAGAGCTATGTAAGTTTGATTTATTATTTGGGAAGGCTGAAAAAGGCCTCATGAACGCCTGCCTGCACTGAGGTTATTTACAGGTGTAACATTCACACTTGAAATACAGTCACCTGGTGCTCTGTACCATTGTCACTTTTGCTTGCCATATAGCTTCAGTAACAGACACTGTGGAAAACGCTACACAGTTGTTCAGCAGCACTGCAATGAAATAGGTGTACTGACATCATTCTCTTTTTGCCTATTAACAAGTGATTGGACAAACTGCAAGTGGACAGAACTGTGATTTTTGTCAGCATACTTTGTCCTCTGGACCACGTGCCTTCCCATTGCTAATAAAGATAATGCCACCTATTTGAAGACATCAGCAGGCATATTTAAAACCCGAGATGAATTGAGCACATTTACTGCGTTAGAAGCAGTTGCTAAATTGTAAGTAACTAAGTCTTGTTGTATAACTGCATTGCACACAGGGGAACAATTTAGGTTTTGAATTTTATATGTTGGTAAGTGAAAACTGTGTAGACATTGATTATTTTTTCCCCTTGACCTAATCACTGTTTGCCTATGGCAATATCTGATACGTTATGTGTTCACCAAGAATTACCTTGGGACCACAGTGAGGCTTTTTTTAGCTTCATTAGTAATCATAGTTACATTAGGAATAGAAGGCAATGGAGTAATGTACTGTACTAAATCACTTGAAAATTTATTTTAAAGGTGCAAGTGAGCTCTGTAGGTGGGAGTCTGAATTTGTATAGACAGTCAGGGAGACCAAATTTGAATCTGTGCATTTTCAGCAAGAATTTAGTTGTTTGTTTTTTTAAAATGGAAGGCATCTGCCTATTTAGATTATTTATTTTTTTGTGTTTTAAGAAATTTTCTTATTTTGTTTCTTCTTAGGTGTTTGTAGTCTAATGATACAACTTTTCATGGTAATACTACGGAATACAAAAATGATGTTGAGTAAAATAAAAATTTAGTAATTGGCTTTTCATTGTCTGAATTGAACAAGCTGCCAGAAGTAAATGACAGAAGTAGTGAGAAGAGACTTTCTTTTCCCCCACCCTGGGTATCTCATGTACATCACCCTTTAGGCAAAAATTAAAAATTCCAACAGATTACCTTAAGAAATGTGTTTAACTTTTAACATTCTGTTGATTCCTTCAAATGGTAATTTTGTTTGTGTGCTAAAATACTTGTTTGTAGTGTAAGGGATTATGCAAAGAAAGTGTAAAAGATTGAACTTTATCTTCTACCTAGAGATCATGGAACTAAACACATGGACACTCTGCTTGTTCAGTAAAGTGTTAGCAATTAAAAAATTCCCACATGAATACTTGCATATTTGCATGCGTAAGAGGCCAAATTGTGGCCTGCATAAATATAGACTTGCAGTTTGGCATTTCTGAGAACCAATTCTAGCACAAAACACCTCTTTCTCCATTGACTTGTCTACTATGTGTGTTTTTTCCAGCTATGCAGCTGACAAATGAGCACTTTTTGTTTTAGCTTAGAGCATTAATTTTGCATTATCTTTTAATGTATGTATGTATATTATAGGGTTTGTTTTTTTTTGTTTCTTCCCCAAAATACACGTGATAGTATTGCCTTTTTTCCTCCTGAAGAGCAGTGACTCATCCAAAAGTGGACTTAGATGCTGCAGGTGGAAGTGTGTGCTGCTGTTGCAGTGAGAGTAGTTCTCGGCTTGTAAGACCTTTTAACTGGAAATGGGTATGTAAATAGATGTTCAACCTTGGAAGTATGATGGGACAATATTGCTTTGAAAAGATAGTTTTCAAGGAATAGGGTGATGCTTTTGATGTTTGTATCCACATGAGGGAGGCAATGTGACAGGCTCATTTGCTGTAATTCGTGGCAAAACTTGCTGACCTGAAGCATAGGGTTGGAGAAATCACTGGATGCACTCACTGTCTGTAACATTACCAGCTTCTGCTATTAAGTGATATGCCTATACAGATGTTATTTTTCCCTCCTTAGTAGATGTAACTGAGATCGAGATTTCTGAATTGTAAATAAAGCCATCCAACACATCTTCTTAGCTTTTTCTTTTAAACAAATGAAACCTTTGTGTGGTCATGGCTTTCTCTCTCTGTTTGGACTCCTGCCCTAATATGTAAAATAATATGTTAGTCTGTAGAAAACACTGACTCTTAACCCAGTGTTTTGTTGCTCAGCCTTTATGGAAATGCTACTGAAGGTGGCCAACAGTCATGTACCTATAAATGAAAGTCTCCTAGAACAGCTGACCTCAGTATAATAGATGTTTCTTTATTAGTTTGAAAGTAATCGTTCTTTGTAGCTTATTTAGGGTCGTACACTTGTAGGAGGTTCTGTAATGATGAGATGCTTTTCTCAAAAGCCAACCACTTCTGTTCAGGGCAGCTCCTAGAGGATCTGGAAGTTTTCCTGAAGATGCCTGACATTAACCATAGGAAGCATTAATTAGCAAAATGTTTGGAACATACAACATTTTCCTGTGTTCTGTTTGACAGTATCGTGAAGAATCGATTAGCTGGCAGACTTACTGTTGCTTTAGAAATTTATATGGACCAGTTGTAACTAAAGAATTTACAGCAGCATTCCATATTTAATTACAGAATCACAGAATAGTAGGGGTTGGAAGGGACCTCTGTGGGTCATCTAGTCCAACCCTCCTGCTG